TCGAATTGTAAATACTAATATCTAATATATTAGTAAACAGATATAAGTATCAATTAGTATTCCGCATGGACCAGTTCCGAGCAGATTCTTTAAAGATCTAGTATTATGCCTAAAAATTTTTTTACTTTATTCTGTTTTTTATTATGTTTATTTTTCTTTTTTTTAGTTAGTACTATACAGAAACTTTGAATCTCTTAATATGTAGTAACTGCATAGTAACTATATAGTTACAATTAAATTTAATAGTAATTATGTAATTACTATATTATTACTATACAGTTACTGTATATTAAGACATTTAAGTTTCTGTAAAGTATTTTATTATATGTTGTTATTTTATATTTTTCTTATTTGGAAAATGGATGGTTGGGCAATTAAAACTGCAATTGAGTGATTAAAGCTTCAAATAGACTGATTAAAGCTTTAAATAAGTGATTAAAGCTCCAAATAAGTGATTAAAGCTCCAAACGAATAACTAACACTCCAAACAAGAGTAATATAAATCAAAAGATATAAATAGATTTAGTTCAATATATAAGAAAAATTAATTATTGTTTATAGTAATTTACAGTTTTAGTTGTATTTACAATTAGGCATAATTCAAATATATTAGATTAATTAGAGAAACTTTAATAAAAGAGAAACCTTTTAACCTGTAAAACTCTAAAGTCAATTTATAATCTCAAATTAAACTGGCTATAGCACAGTGTCTGATATACATGATGATAAAACTGGCATATTTTCTAATCATGCCTATCATATATAGTATCTGTCATATTTGATAAATCTGCGATTACCCAAATCAGCAAAATCAGAAAATCCAAACAATTACCAAAATTAGCAACTCTATCAATCATATTATATTATTAAATCTATATTATTAATCCTTGCTTATAAATATCTTTACAAATCAGAGCTTATTAATCATAAATAGTCATAGCTTACAAATCTAGTATTAGTAAACATTAGTAATCTTTATAGCATAGTCTTCTTGAATATATAAATACAATAGTTTTTAACCTTTGAAATATTAGCTAACTATCCCAAGATAATAGATAGCTCAAGCATTTGACATACTCACCCTGGTATTAAAATAGCACCCCCATAGATTAGTGCAAAATAGCAAATAGACCTTGAAAAACAATAAGCTCAAAGAAGTGAATAATGCTCAACAAATCTAGTACCCCAAAACTATAATGGTATACTAAAAACATCAAAGTACCCAAATGGTTTATAACAAATATAAGTGTCCAAGCATTAATAAAAAATATATTAGTGCATAAACAAAAGTGTCCAATGTTCAGAATTAAACTTACCTTTAGATATTAACTTGCACTCATGAGTAATAGTTTATCCCTTTCCATTAAAAGCTCAAACAAAGCTTACAACGTTCAAAAAAGATAAACATTTAAAGCATTCAACATTAGAGTAAATAAAACTCTAATATTAAAGTATCCAACAATACTAATATAAGTGCCCAACACTGATATAATATATATCTTTGCCATATTATAAGCACTATGCAAATATGTAAGAATATATAATAGCATTTCTCAAATGACCAACACATAGTAACCAATACTATATACTTTATTAATACACAAGTCTTAAATAACTTCGTATGCTTAATAAGTATCAAATGTCTACAAGTATATCTAAAGCCTTTAATCATAATGTATCAAAGAGACCTATTCACTTAGTAATCTCTAACAATACATGAAATATAATGGTATTATGAGCAATACTAGTATATAATGGCACTCAATATATTGTATATGATCATATTATACAAACATTATATAATAAAACATTAAACAACCTAAAGCTAAACCATCATAAATATTCAAGGACTTAGTAAAGCTAATACTCTTAATAATATACCTGTACTTTATAAATAGTAAAATTAATAAATAAATTATCCAAATTTATTAAATATAAATCATTTGTGCAAAATAATTAGTAAAAATTCTATAATCCTTCTAACAAATAAAAGTAAAATAGTAAAAACACCAAAAGTTTAATATAGCTTAGTGCCTAAGAAAGATATAGAAATAACCAAGTAGTACCTTAGAGGACTTATTCACCTTTGTATAAATAAATAACCATTCTACAGAAAAGAGACATGGCCTAGCCCACTATAATAAAAGAAATTAGTAGCGCAAAAAGTGCTTACTATATACAACCACATCCAACCTAAACAACTCCTACAGGGAGATCTCCAAAATTCCAGGTTGGAAACTTCAGAACTCTGGTCAGAAAGGCCAGGGTTAATTAATTTTGCCCAAAATCACTAAGAATTTTACTAATAAAACAATAGTCATTCATTAAGTAAAAAGTGCCCAGTTGATAGTTTTACTATAGCTTATAGCTTCCTCTAACTCTAACTCAGCCCTAATCATGACTCTAACCATGACATGTTCTGGCCATTATGACCTGAAATTTTGGAGATCTCCTGTAGAAAATAACCTAAACTAGTATAGCTAGTAAACCAAAGGTATCCAAAACAAAACTGAAAGTATAGTTAACAAACTATTCAAGCCAATTAAAAGCAAACGTATTGAAGAATAGAGCTTAATCAACTCTTAAACAAGTATGATTAAAAGAAAGCTTAATCTAATTCAGAAGATTAACCACAACCAATCTAACCTGATATTGATAACCAGTAAGGCTGAAAAGACTAACATGAAACCTGAAAACTGATTATCTAACAAGACAACTATATCAAAACCACCAAAAATTAGTAATTTAACAATACAAATGCTAAACTTATTATTACAAAGCATAATTCACTTAACAATTACAATATTAGTAATTTGCTTACAAATACAAATCTCCATTGCTGATGTTATAGATATAACAGTTGTATTACCAAGCAATATTTAAGTTGCTACAACAATAAGCACTATTGTAACTCAAACATCTTTAATTGCAAATCAGCCAGACTTCTTTTAAGATAAAGAAGCAATTAACACATTCATTGCATTAATAATCACTATATTAACTTCAATAACTACCATAATTGAAATAATATTCTTATTTAAAAGAAAACTCAACAAAGTAAAACAACATGTATCAAGATTACAAAATTCTGCATTACCACAGTACAACTAATACAATTAATGATAAACTGCTTAGAAATTATTAAAAATTATAAAAAGGAAACAACTTTGATAACAATTGAATTAATAATTACAACCACAATAACAATTGTCTTACTAAAATCTAATACATAAACACAAATAATATTTGCTATAACATGTTTAGTAATTATTAGAACACTGGAAATATTAGTAATTATCTATATCACAATTATACTACTGAATAATATGCCACATGTGTATGATCACAACAATAATATTAATAATCATAATAGAATTAATAATCATAATATTAATAATATTATTTACAACAATATTAATAATCAACAATCAAATATTATATCACAATCTTACAAATCAATATTAATAATCTTTGATGACTAAAACCAACTTAACAATTAGCTGTTATAAAATGCTATTTTTAGACATTGTCTTGCTAAGTATAATATTTTAATAAATTGTGGCTTTCTTTTGTTTAAATTTAATTAATTATTTTTGTAAAATTTTTATTGTGTAGTGAATTTGGTTAGGTTTACTAGCTATTTTGACTATAGGTTATTTAGTATGATAATAGTTAGCTCAACCTAATCTATTTGAAGCAAAGAAATAGATAATTATATAATTTAATAAATTAGCTATTTTATGCAAACAAATAGTTATTAAATATAATTAATTGGCTTCGGTCAAGCTAATTTTACTTTATGTTTCTAAAAATAAGCTATCTCCAAAAGAAGCTACCTCCTTTTCTCTTGAAGAGAAAATATAAAAAACATTTTGGTTCTGAAAATAAGCTACCCTATTAGCTGTAAGTAGTTGTTACATATAAAGGTCAAAATTTACTAAGTAAATTGACAAAAGTCACTTAAAAGAGATTGTTCAGGAGGTGAAAATACACCTATTCTGAAGTTTAATGCAAATTGGAGAACTTTTTATTAAGATGTTTTTGCATTTTATATTCAAATATAAAATGCAAAAACATCTTAGTAAAAAGTTCTCCAATTTGCATGAACAATCCCTTTTAAGTACCTTTTGTCGATTTACTTAGTAAAATTTTGACTTTTGTATGTAGCAACTACTTGCGGCTAATAAAAATTAATAAAAATCAATTATACCCAAAAATAAGGATTATGGCACGATTTCCCGAAAGCTATTTTCTGACTCAACATCACACAGGGTGACAAATTGCTAAAAATAAATACCTGCAACTAATAGAATACTAACTCTAACTCTATGTGATGTTGAGTAAGTGGCCTGTTGGGGAATGTCTTTAAGGAAATTGAGCAACAACCAAAATAAGCTACCCAATGCTTTTTATATAACTTTTTGGCCAAAAAAGGGTAGCTTATTTTCGGAAACATATGGTATTTTAATAAAGACAATTTAAATAACAATTACGAAATTAATAATTTTAGTATAGCCATTTAATGATTGTAAAAAATTATATAAGTCTAAATATTAAGTGATATAACACTGCACATTTTGAAATTTAATTCGAGCATATTTGACCATTTCATAATATACATGTTTCAAACTCAATAAAATTCAATTAAATGGATGACCCAGTTTTAAAGATTTGCAGTAATTTAATTACAAATAATCATAACAGTGGTGAGTTTAAAGATTATATGAAATATATTCTCCTACTTGTCTATAAACGATTGATTAGCAGTACACAATACATGTTGAAACTAACAGTAATAGACAAAATTCCTGAGTGTATGGAAGATTATAACACTCATAATAGTGAATTTAATCAAATTAAACAATTTATTGAATTTCTTTCTGTACACATTTACGAGTATGAATTACTTATAAAAATGAATTACATAATTTTATTATATGAAAAGTTATGCGATTCTGATGACGATAAAAAAGAATATAAATTTCAGGACTATTCATATATCACCAAAGGCCTAGAGCTATGTAAATTTGTTGAGTTGTTCTACGCGAAAGAGGAATGCAATGATAATTATCATTTTTATTATGATAATAAGGATATAGAGCGTTTATTTAGAAAGAATTTTTGTGTCTGTGATGTAAAATTTTCTTCAAGAGAAGATTAATAAAAGTTGTTTAATAAGCTAAAGTTAATAAAAAGGCCGTACAATGCAACTAACCTTCTATATCGAACCCCATGTACTGCGGCTGTGGTGCGCAGATCATCTGACCAGACTTTTCATGGTGCACTCTATTTTCATAATCATCATGTTTGTTAACAAGAGCACGTTTATTAGTGTGAGCATCAACAATGATAGTTAATGCAAGTGAAATTGAAAAAAGGGAAATTAGGAAAAAATTAAGAGTTTGACGATTCATATTATTTGATTTAGTCAAAAAAAAATTTTACTAAAATTTAGAAATTAAAAAGTAAAGACAAAAAATGTTTTGACACTTTATGCTTATATATAAAAATTAATTTCAATGACTGGAACCTATTACATACATACATACATACATAATCTTACCATGTTTATTTGCTCAACCATTAAAGCTCGTAGAGCAATGTTACATTAAATTTATAGCTTAAGAACCAATAATTTTTACAAGAATTTATAAAATGTAATCTCCCTTTACCATCATAAAGAGAAAAGACTGTTTTAACACTCGTTCTGATCACTGGTCATTCATTTACAAATTTACAGCAGTATGTACTGTACATATGTATGCCTTTTTTTATTCTCGGTATTGGATATACAGTACATAGTAAGAGTTCACTACATTGATTATACTGAAAAGCATAAATTATATTATTTAATTCATGGGTATTCTCAAGTAACAATGAACTAGTAGTAATTGTAGTGCACAACTATTAAAATCAAAATTTAATAATATCGCTATACCATTTGCATGATGTTCTAATTATACATTAAATAATTCCCAATTGCGCGTTATTTAGCGTACACGCATGAGCATTGTTTTGAGGTAAAGACGGAATTAGTAAATTCGCAATAGAAACAGCCAGGTTGACTGGCATCTTATACGAGGTGTGCATTTATGCTATTTCAGAAGGCACAATACGTACGATTTTCTAAATAATACCCGTGCTCGTTATTCCGATTGTAGGTGCCGCACAAAAAATGGCGCGGCAGATCCTCGATTTTGATTGGCAAACGGCCGAGGATCTTCAAAATTTTAGTCCGCATTTCATAATTGTTTACTAATTTCCACCCGGAATTAACTTTTGATTTTTTCATTACAAAAATAGAAATTTTAAAAAATAAGCCCACATTATGGTAAAATTGGCCAGGAACAATTTCACTTAATGGGCGCTGCGATTTCATTAGTAAAATCATGAGTAATTTCAGCCTAATTTTTTGATCGTCACGGCACCTAGGTTCAATGTTATTCCGCGACGCTACGCACAATTTGACTCAAACCGCAATTTGAGGGTGATGCAGATTTGATACTGTAATATATTAGATGTCATTAGGATTAACTAAAGTGGAATCATTATATTGTATAATTGTTTGTTATAATGCTTGTTATGCTGTTTTATTGTGAATTAAAGAATCTCTGTTATAATGAATTTTTATATGGGTGAATACGCAGAAAACTATATATGCATACTCTAAGCATAGCTTGACACGCACTTCATCCATATTATAGCTTTTAGATTCTTATCTAATTCCTCCATACCGCTTTAACATCTTAAACGTTTGTACAAATACCTTTGACGTAGATAACACCTTGAATAAAAGTACTATCAGCTATGTATGCTTGTATATAAGTATTCAAAACTATGTCAGGCATATTAGTAATTTTACTATGATCAGATTTTTATCAGTAAAGTTAAAAATGATCGATCGAA